TGGCCCCCGTCCAGCTCGTCCACATCTCGGGGACGCGCCGGGAGGTCGAGGCCGCCAAGGTGAGCGGGAGGGGCGGGAGGGGGGAGCCCGGATCCCGCTGGATCCTGCTGGATCCCACTGGATCCCACTGGATCCCGCTGGATGGGGTATCCATGCCCTGGTGGGATGGGGGTGCCTGGATACCTCTGGATCCTGCTGGATCAGGTATCCATGCCCTGGTGGGATGGGGGTGCCTGGATCCTGCTGGATCCCTCTGGATTGTGTATCCATCCCCTGGAGGGAAGGGGGTGCCTGGATCCCTCTGGATCCCGCTGGATCAGGTATCCATGCCCTGGTGGGAAGGGGGTGCCTGGATCCCACTGGATCCCCCTGGGTCCCTCTGGATCCCACTGGATCCCTCTGGATGGGGTATCCATGCCCTGGTGGGAAGGGCGAGCCTGGATCCTGCTGGATCCCATTGGATCCCTCTGGATCCAGTATCCATGCCCTGGTGGGATGGGGGTGCCTGGATCCCCCTGGATCCCTCTGGATCGGGTATCCATGCCCTGGTGGGATGGGGGTTCTTGGATCCCTCTGGATCCCGTTGGATGGGGTATCCATGCCCTGGTGGGATGGGGGTGCCTGGATCCCACTGGATCCCCCTGGGTCCCTCTGGATCCCACTGGATCCCTCTGGATGGGGTATCCATGCCCTGGTGGGAAGGGAGAGCCTGGATCCCCCTGGATCCCGCTGGGTCAGGTATCCAAGCCCTGGTGGGATGGGTGTGCCTGGATCCCTCTGGATCCCCCTGGATCCCGCTGGATGGGGTATCCATGCCCTACTGGGAAGGGTGAGCCTGGATCCCCCTGGATCCCACTGAATCCTGTTGGATGGGGTATCCATGCCCTGGAGGGATGGGGGTGCCTGGATCCCCCTGGATCCCGCTGGATCCAGTATCCATGCCCTGGTGGGAGGGGGGTGCCTGAATCCCACTGGATCCCACTGAATCCTGCTGGATCCCGTATCCATGCCCTGGTGGGAAGGGCGAGCCTGGATCCTGCTGGATCCCGTTGGATCGGGTATCCATGCCCTGGTGGGATGAGGGTGCCTGGATCCCCCTGGATCCCCCTGGGTCCCTCTGGATCCCACTGGATCCTGCTGGATCGGGTATCCATGCCCTGGTGGGATGGGGGTGCCTGGATCCCTCTGGATCCCACTGGATCCCACTGGATCCCTCTGGATCCAGTATCCATGCCCTGGAGGGATGGGGGTCCCTGGATACCTCTGGATCCCACTGGATCCCACTGGATCCCTCTGGATCAGGTATCCATGCCCTGGTGGCATGGGGGTGCCTGGATCCCCCTGGATCCCCCTGGATCAGGTATCCAAGCCCTGGTGGGATGGGTGAGCCTGGATCCCCCTGGATCCCCCTGGATCCCGCTGGATCTGCCACCGCCGCCCCGTTGTGCCCGTTGGCAGCGGCTGATCCTGGAGAAGCTGTCGGAGGACGCGGCGTTCCGCAGGGATCTGGCCCAG